CCCCCCCCCCCCCCGAAATGTTAAAGGATTTCAGCTTATGAGTGCTGTATAGTAAATTCCTAATAGGTACCTCTAAAAAGGAGTAATAACATGCATCTCCCTCAAACTTACCTACAATAATGACGTGCGTGTTCATTTAAATACAACATTTTGACATTTTATAATATGTTAAGTCTGTTGTCTTATTTATTTCTGGTATACTACATTAATTATTGTGTACAAAAACTTATTCGCATTTTGTATAAATAGTAAATATAGTTTAATTTTGGTAGCTATATTGTTTTGGGCAATTACTAATTAGAAATACATAACCAGTATAATATAATAATATGTCATAATTTAATCCAATTATAATATACTAATAAAGCCACGTACCTACCGACGTTATTAAATTTATAATTGCATAATACATCGCTACTTTCTTAGAGTCATGTATGGCATTATAATATACGTTTATTGTTTTTTGTCGGTAACCTATATAATATATTATACTCAACAATTGTCAAACATTGCCAAAGCGATCCACGTGCGTATTTGATGATGTCACACTATTGTAGTACAATATTATACTTTGCGCTCGTTTTATCTTACAAAGTGTCTCGCAAAGTTTATTAAATTCAAAACGAATGGAAAGTATATAATAAAGAGTAACGTTTAATAAAGTCACACTTTTACTGTTTAGCGCTCAAACTTTGTTTTAATGTTATATATTATAAAGAGATTCGCAAAACTTCTCTATAGTATTTAAAGTGGGCGATGCGTGTACATTTTGTATGCGTATATATTTCATATACATAACGTCATTAGGTAAATTATTTTATTAAATACCCTTTTTTTTTTTTTTGCGTGGTATCGAGAAACGGAGAAGGAACTGCTGTTGGCATTACTTTTCCCTCGTCCCTCATCGTTTATTGCTGCAAAAAACATATTTAATATAAACAGTAGCTAATAATCATAACTTAGATGCGCCCTGGCGACCTGGAAGACTTTCCATAGAGTACACTAGTATATACATGTCTGCCGGGACCCTGGCTCGGAGGGCTTATTTTTTAAATATCTAAGCCTACTAATATTAATCACAATAATATATAAGGGGTACACAATGCATGTTCAAAATTCAAATTTACCACGAATAAAATAATTTTGTAAATCATTAAATAAATCTGATATGAAATTTATATTTTTAAATGTACGCCAACTGCAAGTGTAAAGAATCAATCGAGATCAAATAATATACACTGCCGTTACAGAAGAGTGATGATAACAGGTTGCTTTGTCAATTTTTTGGTTTGTGTAGTACACACTACACACAAACATGAGCTTTGATCACATCACTGATCCAATTCACAACTAGAAAGTAGAAACCACCCTCGAGTTGAAGATCGAAACATATTTTTTACAATACAACGTGGCAAAGATGAAAAACAAAAATAACACGTCATATATTCGCTTCAGAATAAAAAAATGTGGTTTTCCAAAATAGGTATAATATATCAACAGAATTCAGTCATTTTAGTGAAATTCATCTTGTACAACAGTTTATTATAATCATAGTTTAGTTATAATATTTTAAATCACACTTCATCATTTTCACGACACACACGTCTAATATTACATATGAATGAAATAAATTAAATATGTTCCGTACAATGATTTGATAGGGGAAAATGGGGAAGTGTTATTATTAAACCAGAATTATATATTTCACACATGTATAATATTTCAAAGTTTCCACAACAACATACCTTTATAGTCTATACCAATAATAATAAACAGAATACTAAATAACAGTATGGTCCCCGAAGTTACCTTTCCAATTATAGTCGAAGCCTTTTGTGGTAGGTTGTAGGTATAGGTCAAATAATTAGGTTTATTCGGCCTCTGTATCCGTTCCCTTTATACTTGCGGTGTAAATAATAATCGAAATATACAAATTTCAACAGAATGATTTTTATCGGTGACCACTGACTGCTGAGATATTTTTGAATGGAATAATATTGTACCAATATACGTTATATATTATTTTATTTTCTATAATAATATAAAGCAGAAAACAATTATATATCTTTCACCCATCAACCGTCAATATTGGTTTTGTACTATTTTATATTTCCAAGCATTTTTTTTTTTTAAGCTAATAAAACCAGTTGGATAAAAATTATAATAGTGAACAAAACAAAGTCTGAACCATACAATTTTTGTCGGTTAGATAAATCGGCAACACATCGCCATTGTGTGTGGGTTGGTACGGTAGGCGTTTTTTTTGTATATTTTTAGTAGGTTTGTGTGCTGGTAGGCTATTAACGCTTGTTTGTGTATGTGTGACAAGGATATGTTGCTAAAAATCTAATTTGGTCACCCATCTGGGAGGTATCAACACCGGCCGGTACTAACAATCAAAGGGCGTACGTAACTGAGTGTACACTGTACACTCCACCACATCAAGCCGCAAAAAAATATAATATTATATTCAACGATTATTGCAATACGCGTGTTTTTAAATTATTCAGCATCAATCGGTAAACAGACTTCAAAGTCACCCACATGCCATTATGTTGTGTCAGTGCCGTAGCCTCCCCTGGAGGCAAGTGCCCTCTCCAATTTTTTTTTTTATGAACAATAGTGTCATAAAGTAACAACAAGTGTTAAGTATTCTAGTTCCACAAAAATTAGAATAAAAATATTTTGTCCCCCCTCCCAAAAAAAACAATTTTCTTACTAAGGCACTGTTTGAATAATAAATGGTGAGCGTTTTCAGGACAGTCAACCATTACAAACCATCACAAATCGATCGCTGACAGTCATCTAAAAACGCATTTTTGGCGGAAACGATAGGTAAGTACGATTAAATATTATATTGTTAAATACCTTTATACACGGTTACGTGAAGTGGAAATGTTTAACGTTTCGCCAAAAACCAAGAAACATTTATTTGTTATATTATGATATATTGATATGTTTAGGACAATGAAATAATATGCATTTACAGTTGCGAGGTCATTGTGTACAGTTGGTCTACAACGTCCGATATGAACCTGGATAACTCAAAATAAATCAAGAAGAATTTCATTAAAACCCGGAATTCATAAACTAAACACTAAAGCAAATTCTTGATTCCAAAATCCCACTGAAAAGCAAAATTAATCCTAATTAATAAATAATTTGTTCACCCTTTAGTGACCAATTCGACTTTGTATGTATGGGTTTTCAAGACATCTAACTTATATAATATTATATTCCAACCCATAAACCTTGGCCTAATAGCTAACGCTAACCTCGATAGCAACCACAAGCTAAGCTCGCGACCTCAGCATCCGAACTCTACACTCGCATCCCAATAATGTAGTGTAATACGAAAATGTCATGAAAACTGCCCCAATCATCCAAAGTTTCTTATTTCCAATCTTACTTCTAACTTTTTTCTAGACAATCCTTGAGGCCCCCCAAAAAATGACTTCAAGTGCCAAATGACCGTACGAGAAGAAAAAAAAATGTTTAACCCTCAAATTTGTTTTCTTCTTGAAGTGGTATCACCGAACACTCTCTTCTTTAACTCCACCACATCTTGAAATTGTTATAATATACTTACTTATAGTCTATAATGTTTGTAATTCAAAATTGCAATTTTCAGATTTTCAGCGTAGGGATGAATATGTTGTATTCACAATGATGTGTGTATGTTTTTTTTCAGTCTGTCATCAAAATTTCTGGTAGTAAAAATGCTAAGATTTTCGAAATTAGCATATTTTCCGATAGAAAAGTGAATCAAGTATTTTAGTTGATACTTTTGATAGATTAAATAGGACGAATTCTCAGTTGTTTTAGAACGCGTTGTAAAAAACAAAAAAAAAAAGAGGAGGAAAAGTCATTTTTAGGCATATCAAATTTTTGAAAATATTGATTTAAATGTTTTTGGTGTAACTCGAAAACAACAACCGTAAACAGTAGTCACATGAAATATTCACCAAATATTTATTTTAACATTTTCCATGTATGATAATTCTTTTGAAATATTTTGACTCTTTTTGGGTTATTCATAGCCTTGAGACATTTTTATAATTTTGTAAATTAATTAAAAATATTTATTAACTATTCAATTTTATAATTTTACAAGTATGCTCATAAAATGACACAATACGGCTTCGCTAAAAATCATTTTTCATGTCCAATGATTTAACATTGAATTTAAATATAACACATCCATTACAATCTTCACAATACCCGTACAGCGGTAAAAAAAGACATAAAATGTACAACGTTCAATATCATTAGCAAAGTAGAATAAGGCATAAAGAGATGTACCTCATTGACTATTGAAAGCAGTCGTGTGTTGAAATTTTGCATGACCTACCGCGGCTATACCCTGTAGCAGTGGTGCCGAACTTCTAAAAGGAAAAACTCCTGCCAGATGAAAATACAACCAACCATTTTGCCACGTTAAGTCCACTGTTTAATTTAGTTTATAGAAAACCAATTTGAGAAAATCTAATTTATTTAACTTCCAAATTCGGAAAACCTGTATACACTATTATTCTGTAATTATTCATATGAGGTAAACAGGTGGTGTTATATGTATATACTATATTATATAATACGTTATTCTGCTGTTCTATTAAGGTGATTTTTGTTTGAGAATCTGAATCAATTATTTTAATAGGTGGGAGACAAGTAACAATTTTT